TCACAGGTGCAACTTTACCAAACATGAAGTGGAGCACTACACCGACACTCGATTATACAGGTCATTCCGTTAACCAGGACGTTTAACAACCATAGACACTGTATAGAAATATCTCCACAATGTCCCCCACCTTTCAAAATCTCTATACTATATGCTCATAATCATACATCTCATGCCAGAACGGCCAATAGCCAGCATTATCCATGCATATGTCTTCTGATGTCCTTAATATGTTGCTGCATACATGCAAAATCAACCTCCAGACAATCCTGCTGTGAAACAATTATGTGCTAGTAATAAAGTGCCACCAAAACATCAAGACAAATTATCGTAGTTTGCTGAAGTGAACCATTGAGTTCTACAAGTATTTAAGGGGGGACGTGGCAAGTAAAACTAATTTTTTTATTAATGTACTGTTTGTGATGAAATTTGGTGTGTGTATGTGGATGATTGTGAGGATTCCAAATATGAAAACCGTTTTCAAATACCTCTTGTACTTTTTGAGTTACAAGCATAATTATACTAATTAATGCTCTTCACACTTAAAGAGATAATTATTGCTAAATGAAATTATTTTTTCATATTATTATGTTCCCAAAGCATCAACTTGTGCAAAGAAGCTATTAGTTGATTTTTCTAGTTCTTGTAACCATAAATAAAATTTCCAAAACATGGATGTTGTTTTGCGCACACATCGCAGTAATTATAAAATGTGTTCTAAAAATTTTAAATGATGAGTAAGAAGAGAGATAAAGCTTTATTGCACTGCTAAAGGCCTCCTGAGCCTAGTGCAAAAAACGGAACGACTCTATCAGTCTTTGTTAGAAAATGACAGATGTTCTAGCGAAGGCACATAGGCGAAAATCAAGAGTTGAGAAAACTGACTTTGAAAGTTCACTCTTGTTTGGAAGTTCACAACATGGCTAAAACACTCAGAATCCTCCTGGGCAGTAATCCTGAGATGCTGTGGCCTTGGCCTCTGTAGAGCGCAACCCAGTTTTGCGCTTCTTTGTCGTGGAACAATGCGCTTTTTGAGCCCTCTTTACCCTTTTGGCATCCTTTTCGGCTGCTCGCCGCAAAGAGCAGTCTCCTGGATTGAAGCCCAGTTGAGCAGTGATCTCTTGCAGCGCACTCTTGCAGCCACCATTGAAACGGCAGACTGCATCTGCAACTGCACTTTCCACACTTCGAAGGGAGGCGAACTGGCTCTTGGACTGGAGTGACCAAATGAGGCTGTTCATACTCTCCACAGCGTTCTGGGTTTTTCCCTGCGCACACCTTTCAAGGAGCTCTTTGTTCGAGAGGCGCTTGTAGATTGGCAGCAGTGCCACTCGCACGTGAGGGGGCAGTTTATGTTTGTGAGGCGGCAGCGGCTCTCCCTTGGCCAATGCCTGATTGTGCGGGCACCAGGAGTCAGTCCCACTTGGGCACAGGTTGTGGTGTGGATCCTGGTCTGTGGATGTTACATGGTAATAAGTGGCCATGATGGCCCTCTCCATGCCAGGAACATCGTTGGGGTGGCTCTTAATGGCCCAGCCATAATAATTCGTCAACTTCTTTATCAGGCCCTGCGTCAGTCGGCCTTTGCCACCCATGCTCAGTCCTCGGCCTTTGGATTTGTGCTCATCAAGAAGGTTGCGCAAGGAAGTGCCCATTCTTTTTTTCACATGGTTCACACACTCCTGTTTCTTAATCACCATGTAGCCATACACCTTGTCTTGCGTGAGGGCAAGGTACGTACGGCTGTCACCGTCGCAGAGCACATTGATGTATCGAAGCTTGTACCTGGTAAACGATCTTTCAAACATGATCCTAGCTGCTTCTACTTCCATTTGGCCTGCATTAGCATCGGTGTTCTTTTGGCACTGTGGCTTGTGTTTCTCAAGCCACTCCTCATAGTTGTCGTCACCAGGCTTGGGGCCAACAGCACAGCCTTGGCAGTAGTTGGACAGGACACAGTGGTCCAAGACCAAGCCTGTGTACAGCTCGATTACACAGCCCACGCCAATATGACTTCTGTGCCCCCTCGTCATCCACGTGCCGTCGTAAATGACGTCAATGTTGCCTGGCACTCCTCCTAGGTCCTTGTAAATGTCATGCACCTTCTGTGCACTTTCTGCTTCAACGCGGGTGGCAGCTGATGTGGTGGCAGGGTGGCTGTACTTCCTTTGCAGTCTCTGGTAGGACTTGTGGTGCAGTGCTCGATGCGAAATGTCCATCGCAGAAAAAATGTCATTTATGGCAGATTGTTTCCTGCCAACTGACTGCACAGCCCTCAAAGCACGCACGTTTACCTCAAAGGGGTTCGTTTTTTGTTGCCCGGAGCACCTCGGGGACGACCACGCACTGTTCACTCTGCCACAATTGTCACAAAAAAGTTCCATCCTCGCCGCGAGTCCAAGGCAGTGCGTAGTCTCGAGGCGTATCGACCCTTCGTCGCACTTGTTGCACTTTACTGACGAAAGCAGACCGTTCAGCATCTTCTTATTTACAATGAAGAATGTGGAGTCCTTACCGCCGTCATTTTCGTCGCAGCCTTCGTTCAGAAGCTCGAGCTTCCGCTTTGAAGCGGACTTCGATGCTACGGCATCCAAAACATCCCGCCTTGTCTGCGCCCGCTGCGCGATTTCTTCACTGCTCGGAATCTGGGCCGAAACTCGCGATAGAATGTTCGACGCGCGCACGCCCGGAGTTGCAACGGCTGCCGACGCGGTGCCACCGCAATCGGGTTCGCGAGAGCGTCCATCACGGTCGACGGCATCCGGCGGTCTGACATACGACGATGTGGCACCTTCCACACTCTCGGCCTCACAACAATCAGCGAAGGGTCTGAGTAGAGGCTCCGTGACGCTCGAAGAGCATGCTCCGTCCGGAACTGCGACTGGGATGGCAGCCGCAGTCGTCTGCCCTTTGTTCCAAGCTTTCCGACGCTTGCCGTACTTGTGGACGCTCCGGAACTTTTTTTGCGGCAACATAGCACCGCAGTATGAGCAAGCACTCAGAAGAGACCACCGATGTAACAAAGCTTGGTAAAAAAAGCACGCGAACTATCACAAAAACAGCAAACTGGCAAAAAACGAAGCGCACGCCGGATGATTCTCGACACGGCGGCCGCAGATGCGCTCGCGCTTCCAAGGTTGCCAAGGTGCGCGGCGCAGCTTTGACCAGTAAGAGGTCGCGCCTGCTACCACGTGACCCGCGCAGCCAATTGCCGTTCTTCGTTTTCATTTTTTTACTTGCTCCTCGCGCTTTTATTTTCACTCGGCGAAATACGAGACTGCGACCATCGGGAAGCCGGCTTTCTCCTCTTTCCAAAGCTACCAAAATGGCGGCCCACGGTCAACAACTTGGCGCGTTTGTGCGGCGTGAACAACACCGTTTCAGGGGCTTTTTTTTCGCACTTTTTGGCGACTAGCCTCGGCAAAAACACTATTTGCGGGATTTGTAGCGCACGTTTCGCTGTAATATTTTAGAACAAGGAAGTTGAAGGTCTGAAGATTACGAAAAAAAATAAATCAGAAAATCGCATATTTTGACCAAAATCGGCACTTTACTTGCCGCGCCCCCCCTTAATGAGGAAACTACCACAGAATGGCCTTACAATCACTAATGCTCTGTTCATACCTCTCACATGTCATCAAATGCAGCACAGTAAAAATCATATGGAGCAGATGTCACACACACATACAATTGCATATGCACTTACAATGTAAATGTTATTGACAATAAGCTTTACCTGACTCTCGATCTCATTATTTTTTTTATCCACTGACCTTCCTATACTACCAGAACTGTGAAAGCAAATGACTAGAAAATGCATGCACCAATGTGGAGCTGTGATGCAGTGGACAAAAAAAGCCCTCTGTAAATGCAACACATAACAAAAGCATCCCCACCCAAGAAGCCACAACAACATTCATGCAAATAGCTTACAGTAAACCTGAAATTTTACTGTAACAACCATAACAGAATGTTTGAATGCTTAGCGATACTTTAGCCCTTATCAAGAGACTGCAAGACTGTATATTTGTGAGTTACACTGCCACATAAACGTTTTCACATCAGAGAAGTAACCAATAGAAAACATGTTTGCTGCTTTTTGGCAACAAGCATAATGAAGACCAGAGAGAGCACTATCACTTATTACTAAAGAAGGACCATCAAAGCAGCCATCAATGTTAAATCATTAACTTTAAAATTAAAATGCTGGTGACTGCCCGTGTAGGTCGTTTTGGTGCCATGTAGAAGCAAGTGGCACATTTCTTGCAAACGATGTCCCAAAACAAGTGGAAATGTGTTTTTAACGTCTATCGAGATCACTTAACCAAACAAATAAAATTGCTCGCTAGTTAAATTATAGGTTGCTCCATTTCAAACAGCTGCTTCTAAAACTTCTGCTACCTGCTATATGCTGGCAGCAAGAACACCAAATCAAGCACCAAAACACGGCACATATGTAGCTGACAAAGCTGCGTGAAGTGTGAAATGCGGGACACTACTGTGTCAACCTGCTCTCCTCTTCACTGCTCCAGAGACAAGGAGGACATTCAGGTAACTCGGCCCATTATGTAAACATGATGCTGCATTTGAAAACTGCTCTGCAATACAATGTGCGATTTTAAAAATCTCTTTGCGGAAACTGCAAGCAAGTTACCCCTGGCACCAGCAGCAGTTGGAATTGAAAATAAAGTGAAATGAAATGAAGTCGCAAATTTTCTCAACCTTTTTTAAAAAGCCATAGCAGTGAAACTTGGTTATGCTAAACTGCTGATAAACCAGTTTCAATGAAGTGGTAATAGTATAAAATACTCAATGGTGCTGAGAAGTTCATTACATCAAGGTATAACTACGCTGCCCACCATTTTCATGCAGCAGACTGAATTGGCCTGATTTCTGCTCGCAATGACATTACGAGCATAGTTTCCAGTAGATTTGTTTCCCCCCTTTTCACTTATTGCCCTGAGAAGGCAGCGAGATGGTTTATCAGAGAAGAGACTCACCATCATATTCCGGAAAATAGTCCACTAAATGAGAATACATAATTTTTTCTTCTAGTAAGTCCTTCTTGTTTAGAAATAGAATAACAGACGAGTTTTGGAACCAGGGATATGTGATGATGGTCTTGAACAAAGCTTTGCTCTCCTCCATTCGATTCTGGAATAAAGCATTGGGTGAGCGATGTTCCTCTACAAGAAAAACGAACATGGACCATAAAATGCATCATCAGTTCACTACAAAGCAGCAATATATTTTTAAAGGCCCAATCAATAGGCTCAGACTTTTTTTTTTACACCCCCAAGGAAGCTCGGCAACTCGTAAAGTAGACCATGGTGACCATGTTTTCCGAATATTACAGTGCTGCGCGTCGCACAGAGCTTCCATTTTGAAAAACTATTCCCGCGCTCCTTTCCTATGCCTAACCAACCCTCCTTTCACAAGCAGTGATGCAATGTCGCCGAGCGGCGACTTGGTCTAAATTAGTCACGACAATGGGCGACACTTTCCCCTCTCTGAGAAAGAACGGCGGCGAAGCAGCACGAAAATTTAGAACAAGTTGAAACGGATGTTCTAGCCCCTGTAACTTCCTTAATATAGCATGTATTTGCAAAATTCCTGTAACAGAACGTTCACAAAGCCAAAGTGCACATATTTCCCTTTATAACAATTTTCAGACCTCGGGATTCTTTACTGTGGGTCTTTAAATAACAAGTTTTTACGCACTGCTCAACAACAAAGCACAAGGACAGAGCTGACTGCAGGGAAAACAATAAAGTAAGGTGCAACACTGATACGACCACTGAGGAGGAAAGGAAGAGGGCTGTGCATGTAGTAGTAGTCAAATGTAGGAAAAGACATTTAGCCAAATTACCAAAACATGCAGAGTACAAAATAATGAATTCAAACAAGTAAAACATAGGCCCTAGGAAAGAGTACGTCCACACAAGAATGCACCAGGAATCCACCAAATAAACAAGTCTTAAAAAACGTGTGACCGTTCTCAAAGCAAAACACCCATCAACAGACTAATGATCATTTGTAACAGCAGTCCATCTAAGGAATGCAGATAAAAACTACAGAGTTCAAGACATAGCAAGCTGAAAATAATGGCCGCATCTGGCCATTTATAGCAGCCCAAAAGTTGCGAAACAATGCACAATGCAGGCTTACCTCATTGTCGGACTCGAATAGGATCTGGTCGTATTCACTTAAGGCTACTAGGAATATAATAGACGTGACATTCTCAAAACAGTGTATCCATTTCCTCCGCTCAGACCGCTGGCCACCAACATCCACCATTCTACAAGCAGAGAGAATAAAAATGAAAAAAATGAAGACAACAGCACTAACGAAGAAAATCAAACAGCAAATGAATTGCTCAACTACTGTTGATAGAGCATGTGTTAGTTTTTTATTTTTACTTATAAAAAGAAGGGGAAAAAAAGCGTGGCATATTGTGATCAAGTGCATGAGGCTTTTAAAAGCTTCATGTGCTAGCATCTTCACTCATTTGCCCATCCTTAACATTTAGTAGTTAGGTCGGCAAACTCACTCATGGGCCGACACACGCCGACTCTCAGATCGAGCCGCGAGTCTGAGAAAGTACAGCTGAGCAATATATTTGTCAGTGAGCCCGAGCGAGTCCGGCATATGAAAATTTTAGAGTGAGCTTTCATAATTTTGCCAACAAGCGGCTACAACTTAAATATTGGTTTTGTTAACTTAGTTTTTTCTTCATTTGCCATTGCTACAGCACTATTCAGGCCGTTTTCAATGTGGTGGCCATCTCATTCACAGCAAAAAAAAAACACTGGAAGATCACAGACTTCCTTAAAGAAGTAAAAGAGAGTTCCTAAACGTGCCCCTGTGTGTCTCGTCTAAATTAACTTCGAATTAGCTCTTACTGGGTCAATAACATACATGAGCAACATCTGTTAACACCCTCGAGATGGTTAATGTGTATGGTCGCAAAATGGTCCCTCATGTATGTCATCACTTGTAAGTTCCTGCCTTCGGGATTACATATGCCCCTGCCCGACGCAACACATGGTGACGAGGATGCAGTTCAAACCCACGCAGGCTTTGCATTCAGCACCTTTTCACGCGCCACAAACAACTGCCTGGCATAATGCTTCCCCGAGTTTGTAACCACACTCAAGTACAGGACCAGATAATTCCCAAAGTCGCCAACATGCACGTTCAGGCTAAGTTGCAGTCCTACAGGGAAAGCCTGACGCTACGAAAAGCGGAAGAAATTGCACGCGACAGCGAGGCGCTACAAAAACAATATGCAATGTTAAACACAATAAGCGGCTACTGGGCTCGCATTCCGATTATGGGGGCAGCATCTAGCTGATAGTAGTGACGCAAAATGGCGGGTCAGCAGTTTCATTGGCGCAAAGTTCGAGTCAGCCGACCACCCTTACCCAAAATGATTGCATGGGCTCGACAGCCACCTCTGACATGCGCAAAATAACTAAGAACTGGCCTAGTTGGTACGTATCCATTCCAAATAGGCGCGGTCTTTCGACTTTCTCCTTGTGTTCGTGCTTGCATACTGTTTTTTTCAGAATGAACAGCGGCATTTCTTGAAACCCGATGTGAAATCTCCTTCTTAAATGATTCACACTCAAGCTTCATTACAACATAGTAGCATCTTGCAAGAGAATAGCTTTGTTATATCTGAAAATTTTTTATAAAGTTTAATCCTAACATTGTATCTATTGCAAGATTATTTTTCATTTATTTCACTGTACCGATATTTTTGTTGTATTTGTGTTAGTTATATTGTGGGGTCTCGGCGAGGCAAACGAGCGCATCGCCACGCCACGCTCTTGGAGTGAACGAACACAGCAGACACGGTCGGTACACAGCACACAACATACATACATTTATTAACTAATTTAGATGACGATATCGTCCGCCGAATGTTACATCAATTTTAAGGGGGGACGTGGCAAGTAAAACTAATTTTTTTATTAATGTACTGTTTGTGATGAAATTTGGTGTGTGTATGTGGATGATTGTGAGGATTCCAAATATGAAAACCGTTTTCAAATACCTCTTGTACTTTTTGAGTTACAAGCATAATTATACTAATTAATGCTCTTCACACTTAAAGAGATAATTATTGCTAAATGAAATTATTTTTTCATATTATTATGTTCCCAAAGCATCAACTTGTGCAAAGAAGCTATTAGTTGATTTTTCTAGTTCTTGTAACCATAAATAAAATTTCCAAAACATGGATGTTGTTTTGCGCACACATCGCAGTAATTATAAAATGTGTTCTAAAAATTTTAAATGATGAGTAAGAAGAGAGATAAAGCTTTATTGCACTGCTAAAGGCCTCCTGAGCCTAGTGCAAAAAACGGAACGACTCTATCAGTCTTTGTTAAAAAATGACAGATGTTCTAGCGAAGGCACATAGGCGAAAATCAAGAGTTGAGAAAACTGACTTTGAAAGTTCACTCTTGTTTGGAAGTTCACAACATGCCTAAAACACTCAGAATCCTCCTGGGCAGTAATCCTGAGATGCTGTGGCCTTGGCCTCTGTAGAGCGCAACCCAGTTTTGCGCTTCTTTGTCGTGGAACAATGCGCCTTTTGAGCCCTCTTCACCCTTTTGGCATCCTTTTCGGCTGCTCGCCGCAAAGAGCAGTCTCCTGGATTGAAGCCCAGTTGAGCAGTGATCTCTTGCAGCGCACTCTTGCAGCCACCATTGAAACGGCAGACTGCATCTGCAACTGCACTTTCCACACTTCGAAGGGAGGCGAACTGGCTCTTGGACTGGAGTGACCAAATGAGGCTGTTCATACTCTCCACAGCGTTCTGGGTTTTTCCCTGCGCACACCTTTCAAGGAGCTCTTTGTTCGAGAGGCGCTTGTAGATTGGCAGCAGTGCCACTCGCACGTGAGGGGGCAGTTTATGTTTGTGAGGCGGCAGCGGCTCTCCCTTGGCCAATGCCTGATTGTGCGGGCACCAGGAGTCAGTCCCACTTGGGCACAGGTCGTGGTGTGGATCCTGGTCTGTGGATGTTACATGGTAATAAGTGGCCATGATGGCCCTCTCCATGCCAGGAACATCGTTGGGGTGGCTCTTAATGGCCCAGCCATAATAATTCGTCAACTTCTTTATAAGGCCCTGCGTCAGCCGGCCTTTGCCACCCATGCTCAGTCCTCGGCCTTTGGATTTGTGCTCATCAAGAAGGTTGCGCAAGGAAGTGCCCATTCTTTTTTTCACATGGTTCACACACTCCTGTTTCTTAATCAACATGTAGCCATACACCTTGTCTTGCGTGAGGGCAAGGTACGTACGGCTGTCACCGTCGCAGAGCACATTGATGTATCGAAGCTTGTACTTGGTAAACGATCTTTCAAACATGATCCTCGCTGCTTCTACTTCCATTTGGCCTGCATTAGCATCGGTGTTCTTTTGGCACTGTGGCTTGTGTTTCTCAAGCCACTCCTCATAGTTGTCGTCACCAGGCTTGGGGCCAACAGCACAGCCTTGGCAGTAGTTGGACAGGACACAGTGGTCCAAGACCAAGCCTGTGTACAGCTCGATTACACAGCCCACGCCAATATGACTTCTGTGCCCCCTCGTCATCCACGTGCCGTCGTAAATGACGTCAATGTTGCCTGGCACTCCTCCTAGGTCCTTGTAAATGTCATGCACCTTCTGTGCACTTTCTGCTTCAATGCGGGTGGCAGCTGATGTGGTGGCAGGGTGGCTGTACTTCCTTTGCAGTCTCTGGTAGGACTTGTGGTGCAGTGCTCGATGCGAAATGTCCATCGCAGAAAAAATGTCATTTATGGCAGATTGTTTTCTGCCAACTGACTGCACAGCCCTCAAAGCACGCACGTTTACCTCAAAGGGGTTCGTTTTTTGTTGCCCGGAGCACCTCGGGGACGACCACGCACTGTTCACTATGCCACAATTGTCACAAAAAAGTTCCATCCTCGCCGCGAGTCCAAGGCAGTGCGTAGTCTCGAGGCGTATCGACCCTTCGTCGCACTTGTTGCACTTTACTGACGAAAGCAGACCGTTCAGCATCTTCTTATTTACAATGAAGAATGTGGAGTCCTTACCGCCGTCATTTTCGTCGCAGCCTTCGTTCAGAAGCTCGAGCTTCCGCTTTGAAGCGGATTTCGATGCTACGGCATCCAAAACATCCCGCCTTGTCTGCGCCCGCTGCGCGATTTCTTCACTGCTCGGAATCTGGGCCGAAACTCGCGATAGAATGTTCGACGCGCGCACGCCCGGAGTTGCAACGGCTGCCGACGCGGTGCCACCGCAATCGGGTTCGCGAGAGCGTCCATCACGGTCGACGGCATCCGGCGGTCTGACATACGACGATGTGGCACCTTCCACACTCTCGGCCTCACAACAATCAGCGAAGGGTCTGAGTAGAGGCTCCGTGACGCTTGAAGAGCATGCTCCGTCCGGAACTGCGACTGGGACGGCAGCCGCAGTCGTCTGCCCTTTGTTCCAAGCTTTCCGACGCTTGCCGTACTTGTGGACGCTCCGGAACTTTTTTTGCGACAACATAGCACCGCAGTATGAGCAAGCACTCAGAAGAGACCACCGATGTAAACAAAGCTTGGTAAAAAAAGCATGCGAACTATCACAAAAACAGCCAACTGGCAAAAAACGAAGCGCACGCCGAATGATTCTCGACTCGGCGGCCGCAGATGCGCTCGCGCTTCCAAGGTTGCCAAGGTGCGCGGCGCAGCTTTGACCAGTAAGAGGTCGCGCCTGCTACCACGTGACCCGCGCAGCCAATTGCCGTTCTTCGTTTTCGTTTTTTACTTGCTCCTCGCGCTTTTATTTTCACTCGGTGAAATACGAGACCGCGACCATCGGGAAGCCGGCTTTCTCCTCTTTCCAAAGCTTCCAAAATGGCGGCCCACGGTCAACAACTTGGCGCGTTTGTGCGGCGTGAACAACACCGTTTCAGGGGCTTTTTTTTCGCACTTTTCGGCGACTAGCCTCGGCAAAAACACTATTTGCGGGATTTGTAGCGCACGTTTCGCTGTAATATTTTAGAACAAGGAAGTTGAAGGTCTGAAGATTACGAAAAAAAATAAATCAGAAAATCGCATATTTTGACCAAAATCGGCACTTTACTTGCCGCGCCCCCCCTTAATTAACACGCTACCATACAAACAACATAACGCAGTGACACACTAAACACACAACATGATAAACACACACTAACACACCCAACACACTAACACATACCCAAGGCAGCGTCGCCAACGCCTGACTTTCCACGTGGGACCCCGGCGCGAAGCCCGCGGTGCCGAGCACCGGGGACCCACGCTACAGACAACCGTTCGCAGCAGTCGCCACGCGCAGAAGAGGCTCGCTCAACTCTCGCCCACCACCAAGGCCCGCCTTCCGCGAGGGGCCACCGCCGGCGCTACCACTCTACCAACAGTGGTACTCAAAGCGAACACAACGCCATCTATCGCCCGGCGGTGGTCACCACCGAAACAAAGCCTTGGGGCGAGACACGTGCACCACGCGGCGCAGACAACTTTACAGGGAGGGTGTCAGCACCCCCACAATATCTACTTATCGTTTTCTCCCTCCACATCCCAATTTGCTTTCGATTCACTTTGAGTCCTTGTGCCAGGAAGTTTTAGTTTATTTTTTTCTCATTTTGCTTTCTCCTGTTCGCCTCAATGCACCCATCAAGACATAGAGCAGAATCCCTGTCATTGTCGGTCGCTGTGATAGCTCATTTCAACAGAGGCCTGTCACGCGATACGTCTGCAACAGATTTTTTTTTTTATTGAGTCTATGGAAAACCAAACAAACATTACCGTGTTGTTCGTCTTAAGCAAGAATTCGTCTTAACGGGAGTATACCGTATTTCACGGCTAACAATTTCGGACACTTAAGAACGGGCTGTTCAATATTTAGGACTTTCCAAGCATCAGTCAAGCCGACTACCATCACTTTTTTCATGCCGCCATCTTCATTGTTTACATTTTTTTCCAATAGCCTCGAACCGGTGCTGGCATTGCATGCTGCCGATACCTCTGTTTGCCGCCGCTAGGGTGGCTACTTCAAACACCTCGAAGTGCTGGATCAAGGCTATTTCCGTACCAGTGTCGCTGCCGAACAATTCTTTTTTGCTGTGGCTGTTGAAGGGATCACAGTGTTGGACTGCCTTAACTGACTGTTCGCCTGTGCGCGTGCCATATGTTCCAGGTGTGTCGCCTGGCTAAGTGCACTAATTTGAAATGGGTTAAGGAATTGTGAGTGCTATTGTCGGCCACGAGAGCTCCAATGAAGCAGGGAAAGTATGTCACCATGTCGATGGCGAAGAAAGCTGTCATCGTCAAGCACGTTGAAAGTGGCCAATCGTGGGCAGACATTGCGAGTTTCAGATTTCCAGACTCAGACTAAATGAAAGACAAGCAGAAGATTTTGGAGGCAGCGGAAAAGTCTACTGGATGTCGCTAGAAAAATGCAAGCCAAGGCACCTACCCAAAGCTCGAGGAGGCCCTTGTCACATGGCTGAAGTCAATAGTGGCCATCAATCTTGGTAGGAAGCGCAGCCACTATTACACAGAACACAACACAAGCGCTGTGTTCTGTGTAATACAGTCAAAACCCACAATAACGAAACCCCGCGAGTACGAAATCCCCGCGGCAATATTTCCGGATCCCCGGCGAACGTTCATAGAAGCCCATGTATTACGTATCTCGCGGCAACGTAATGTTTTTGGACAGCGATCCCGCATTAACGAATTTTCTACCACGGTGCGGGCCTTATTTTACCTTCCCACCAAAGGTTAACTGTCGAAAATATGCTCGTATGCGAGTTATGCGAACTCAAAATTTGTAAACGTCTGCTTTTGCCGCGCTAGTGTGGGTACCGGCATTTTTGTTTACTTAAGGGAGGACGCGGCTTTAGGATCGCGAAAAATGGCAAAAAAAATCGATTTTTTGAAAATCAAGTTTTCAGTTTCTGGAACCCTTTTTCTATCTGATTCCAAAATATCTACACTGAAAACCGTGCAGAAGTGCTTCGGAAAATTCATTTCACCCACCTAGGTAGCCAAACTTCTTCTGGAAATCGCGAGAAAACAGCGATTTTCAAAAAATTATGGCTTCGCGATCGCGGGGCCGGGAGCCGGCTTCTTGGGCTCATCGGAAAGAGCATTTCTCCGTGTTTAATTTTCCCGCCTCAGCTGCCTCCTCCCTTTAAATACAAGCGCACAAAAAGCAAATGTTTGAAGGTCGTTTTGAGGCCCTTGATTGGCTGTGGCCTCCATGTTGCCTCAGCTCGCCTCGCCATTGGCCCGATGCTCGCTCCGGGAGATCGTCGTCTGCTGCTTGTGCGTCGCGAGGACATGGCTCTCGAAAATTGCTGCTCCGTGACGTGTTCAGGGCTCGATGATCACTTAAGATATAATTACGCTTTAGTTAGGAGCAGTAGGTGGATGCGCGATCAGGTTACTACGAGCGCGGCGCGTCATGGGAGTTGTCTTTAGCCCTCACTCTGCCGACAGCGAGACTGCGGGCAGGAACGACGCGCTAGCTCACTCGTAGCGACATGCTTCGTCGCAAGCAACGATGCTGTAAGCGGTGGCACGGTCAGACTACTACGAGTGGCCGCACAAGATGCACGATCAGATTACTACGAGCGAGCGCGCGGTCTACAAGCGCGGCGCATCATCGGAGTCGGCCTTAGCCCTAACTTCGCTGATAGCAAAACTGCGGGCAGGAACGACGCGCTAGCGCATCCGAAACAACCCACGGGTCATTTTGTATGCGCAGGACACCCTTCGCTCCTTCGGCGCACATGACGACGATGTAGCAATGGACCACTTTTTCCAGTGCGAAGGCAGAGCGTTGAAGTTGTTGCATGGCAAGGGTCGGCAAAGTAAGTTGACCGACTTCTGGCAATAAATTTTTGTTCTGCTGGCCGCATCACTGTTTTTATGTCTCATACTCGCGGCAATGAAATTCTCGCCAAAACGAAAATTTTTCGGTTTCCCCGGCGATTTCGTTATTGCGGGTTTCGACTGTAGTGGCTGCGCTCCCTACCAAGATAGATTCATACCAACTGGCCCGATACAATTGTTTATTGAGCGGCCATCAAGGTTGCAGTCTAGAGGAGCCTTCTCAAACACAAAGCCGAGACGATGGCTAAGAAAGTTCAAGAAGCGCTCTGATCTCAGTTATAAAAACTGTGTGGTCAAAGTGCAGCTGTCGACCTTAGCGCAATTGCGAACTATGGCTCTGAAAAGCTGCAGTCTTTTTTACAGGAGTACTAGCCCGACCATACTTTCAACTGTGATGACACCGGACTTTTTTCAAGCTGATGCCAGAAAAAGACTTTTGTCTTTGCTGGCGAGCCTTGCAATTGTGGCAAAAACAGTAAGGGGCGAGTTACTGTACTAATCGGTAGCAATATGTCGGGCACAGGAAAACTGCCGATGCTCGTCATCGGCAAGTCAAGAGCTCCAACGTGCTTCAATGGTGTAAAGTCTCTGCCTGATTTGTACGAGGCAAAACGGCCTGGGTAACTCAGCAGATTTTTTAAAGTTATGTGAGAAGGCTAGATCGCAAATTTAATCGAGAGCTGCAAAATTTTGCTCTTTATGGACAACTGCGCTGCACACAGGCACATTAACAACTTGAAAGCTGCGCGCGTCGAGTGCTTGCCACCAAACACTACAAGTGTCCTACAACCGATAGACCAGGGTGTCATACGCACTCTGAGAGTGTATTATCGGTTATGCTTGCTTTCGCGTACGTGGTGTGCCTCGACAGTGGAAACGTTTACTCTGTCAACAGTGGAAACGTTTACTCTGTCAATTTGCTTGGAGCACTTGGCATGCTCGTTGATGCGTGGAAGTCGCTGGCATCGACAACGCTGCACAACTATTTCCGCCACATGAGATTTGTATTGAATGGCGAGCCGGCCGAATTGGATGAGGACAGCATCATCGACAATGAGTCCGGAAGCGAGGTGCTCATCGACTACCTTTGCACTGCTGGCGCAGAGATTCCCCCAAATGTCCCATTTTCTGGGTTTGCGTGTGTGGACAGCAAGTTAGAACCGTGCGCTGGCAAAGAGTCCGAGAGCGACAATGACTAACCAGGAACCGCTCAGCCAACGCAAGCTGAGCTGATGCAAGCGATCGCAAACCCTTGCAGCGACACGGCAACTCCAGCCTAAATGCGGGCGGACAGGCTTGCAAAGATGCGAAATATGGTCCAGAAGACGATCAATCACTTTTTCTGCCACCTATCTCAATAGTAAGTAATAAATTGAGCATTTTGGGGGCACATTTGCTCTTTCCGACTGCCCGATTTTTCGGACATTTTCGCGGTTCCTTGCCGGTCCGAAAAATCGGTCATCAACTATAATGTGCCCTCATTGAAACAAACTCGTTGAAACCAAGGCACACATGGTAATAAATACTGTCCCACAAGAAAGAAGAGGAACAATTGGCCAGCAAAGCTTTCATTTTGGCTTACCTGAAAATGATGGAGTCCAAGTCAAATGGGTACTCGATAATGCCCGTTGTGGGCACTCGTACCCGAAGGATGTCTTGTTGCGTAGGAAGGTAGTTTGGGGCAGCTATTCTGTCCACATCTGTAAGGTAGCTGCACGGCAAAAGCAAATGCTTTATCAGTGCACTCTCAGAGTATGGAAGATTCGGCTGTGACAGGCGCATAAAATTAAACCATCAGGAGCATACTGCACCATATCCTGTCTTACAACAGCCTTTATCTAGTTATCAATCCAAAAAGATCAGTTTTAGCTAAAAATTAAAGCAACAATCGATCATTTGGGCTCGGTAAGGCCACGTAGAAGTTGGGACAACTGGCACGAAGAAATAATGCATTCATTAAATAATGGGAGACAATACTGGCCAAGTAAGAACACATATGGCTAACTTGTATGCACACATGCTTCTTTCAATTTCTCAGCTAATTTTACATTTTCATGTTGTTCTGGTTTCCATTTCCAGTTTGCTGAGTTTTCTACGCATTCATTCAGCTCATAGAAATCTGACAGAAGTGCAGGTCCATTGCTTTGTAATCCAAGTAAGCAAAGCTGCTGCACCCATTCCGCAATTGCGGTTTTCCATGACACTCTCAGGTAATGCACTGAGTGGCACAGCACACATGGAAGCAGCAACGGATCACCAAGCCACCTTTGCTTGCTTCTTTTTGATTAAGTTTTCAGGTGTCACCGACTTACCTGCAACTATCCAAGCTTCAAACTTTTGGGGGCGACCCAAAGTTGCCAATATACAACCTTTCGATTAACAAAAAATGGCATAACCCCAATGCCCCAGAGGACCTCCCACAATTAGATCATCTATTCACTTTTTTTTTCACAGCACTTTTTTGCAGCACTGCTAAATTGATTATGAATGCACAATAACCGGTTTCGGTGCCATAGTTGTACGATGCCACCAGCATCCGTCATGGAGTAAGGAAAACTCTAGAGAGGCCTTATCATATCCCAACGCATTGCGAAAAGTGAAGCGGAAATGTCAAATTTACAGGGCAAACCAACCGGTATGGGGCAAACAAAACAGCCGACGCTCCGTGGCATGCTCTCCCCGCTGGCTTGCTGCTGAGCAGACAAGCCCCAGCATAAACTTAGTGCACATTGTGCAGTTTGCATGCAGTGAAATGTTGCAACTACACATTTACCAGGCTATTCGTGCGTGGCAGGCCCGAGTGCTTCATGCTGAAATTCTCCGTGGGGCGTTTTTGTGCAGCAGTACAGAAGGTACCAATATGCACTGCAATCCATAAAATTCAGCCCCTGTATCACCGTATTTTAACTCGCATGACAGTGGCTTACGCAATCTGCTGGGTATTAGGCCTTTCTTTTCCTTTGTTATAGCCCGATTAGACTAGTAGCCGATTAGCGGTTCTTCACTGGTATAAACAGAATGAGCGTGGCATCGCACAATCTTGAAGGCTTACCTAGTAGCTACCATATTTATTCGTGTAATCTTTGATCTATTTCGTGTAACGTATTTCGTGTATATTCGTGTAACGCTTGATCTATTTCAAGCCTATCAGCAACTTCCAGTCACTGAAGACACAGCAAATGTTTTGACCGTGAATACAATAAATGAACTGTATGCAGTCAAGAGACTTCCATTTGGAATCTCAGCAATGCCAGCAATATTCCAAAAAATCGTGGAGACAACTCTCGCCGCAATTCCTGGCCCCAGCGTGTATCTCGATGACATAATTGTCTGCGGAGAAACTCCAGATCAACACCACGAACGGCTAGACCAAGGGTTGTCAAGACTGGGTAATATGGGCCTGCGCCTACAGAAAGACAAATGTTCATTTGGGGACAAACATGTGGAGTTCTTAGGACATCGCATCAATGAACAACGAGTACATACGACTGGAGAGAAGGGGAAAGCCATCATGGATGCACCAGCACCGAAAACTATAGTTGAGATCCAAGCATTTTTAGGCTTGCTTGCTTTCTACGACCGCTTCCTCAAGGACAGAGCAACATTAGCCTCACCATTGTACATGCTTTTACATAAAGAAACTGAGTGGATATGGGAGAAAGAGCACCAAAAGGCATTCGAAGATTCATAGTGAGCGAGCACAGCACAGTGCTCGCTCACTATGACGAGCACAAACCCCTTCTCCTATCATGCGACGCATCACCATATGGTGTCGGTGCTGTTTTATCGCAAGTGGAGCAGAAGCACCTATTGCTTTCGCGTCCCGAACGCTGGGAAGGCAGAACGGAATCATGCACAACTAGACATGAGGAACTTGCCACGATATTCGGTGTTGATCATTTTCAGGAGTATATAATCGGAAGACATGTGACTATCACAACTGATCACCAGACGCTACTCAGCATTCTCGGGCCGAAAAGGTCGCTCCCGCAGCTCTCATCACCACGTATGACCAGATGGTGTCTGTTGAAACTGTCTGCTTACGACTACGACCTTGTTTACAGAAAAGACAGTCGAAACGAGAACGCAGATGCATTGAGCAGGCTGCCACTCCAAGGAGATGACGATGAGCCATCCCCTCCCAGTGATGTTCTAATGCTAGAATGTGCAATTGACCCCCAACTTTCGCCCAAGCACATTGCAGAGCTATCGTGCGAAGACAAAAGTCTAGCGGCAGTTATTCAGGCAGCCCAGCAATGAAAGGCGATGACTTTCAACCGTATGTCAAACTAGCGCCCGAGCTGTCGCTGCTCCAAGAATGCTTGCCGAGGGACTCTCGAGTGGCAATTCCGAGCGCGGCTCGCACCGCAGCTTTAAAAATTATTCACTCAGGGCACAGGGGCATCGTTGCTATGAAGGCCCACGCTAGAGGGTACCTTTGGTGGCCCAGCCTCAGCAAAGACATAGGAACGACTGTCCAAGAATGCGGGCCATGCCAGGAAAACCGAAGGGCACCTGTGAAGGCACCCCTTCCAGAATGGCCAAGAGCAGCACAACCATGAGAGACAATTCACATGAATTTTGCAGGACCCATTGAGGGCAGCATGTTCTTGCTTGCCGTTGACTCATTCAGTCAAAACACCTAATCAAGGAATGCATAAATCTTTTCGTGACCTTTTTTTCGAATGAAATGGAGTGAAACATGTCACGAGCGCTCCGTACCATCCTGCCACGAATGGTGAAGTTGAACGCATGGTCTTCGAACTTAAGCAAGCGTTTGTGAAAGAGAAGGACGCATCTGTTGCCCACGAACTTTTGCGTTTTCTTCTAAAGCAGCACACGACAACGCATGTGGGCACAAAGAAAACACCCGCCATGATGATGTTTGGTTGTGAACTTCCGATTGCATTGACATACCTGAAGCCTTCAGACTCACAGATCACAGAGGAAGAAGGAAAGGACGCAAAAAGCAAATCGTCTACGTGAAGAACTTTGTAGGCGACCCGGTATGGATGAAAGGAACCATCATCAAAGTAGGTCGTCGGTCTTGGTTGGTTAGTACGGACAGAGGTGTCATGCGACGTCACAAAAACCATATTCAGACTACGAGTCAAGAAGCTACACGGATGGCAACACTTCTGCAACAGAGTCCCTGCCGGTCTTCACTGCTTCCGTTTTTCCCCCCAGACAGCCAGGCTGATAATCAACAAGACGTGTTGACTGCAGGCGCTCCAGAGTGCTGTGCCACGCCAGCGCAACTCCCATCCGAAGACGCTCTGCAAGAACCATGACAGCTGCCCCCGAGATGTTGCCATCCACCCAACCGTTATCAAGATCAGTGGTTACTCGAACAGAGTGGGGAGAAATGTGTCATGTTCGTGAGTTTCAGGTTCAGTGTTGTGCTCGTGTTTCAGTTTAGACCCCACGAGATTTCATCGCCAGAGGGCCGAGCAGCAGCAGCGCACATGCCGAGGGCACGCTGCCCTCTCCCCCCAAAACAGAACCACTGTCTTCATCTATCAGCAGTGTGCTTCAAATAAATAAACCGAACAGACGTATGTAGCAATTGCATCGCTTGCGTGGTGAAAAAAGAAGACTGCGAACGTTTCGCGACTCGCTTGAATTTCACATGCGCGTGATTACCACAAGACGAAAATAGCTAAATGTTTAGCTGCTGCTTCGATAAGGGGCGATAAGGGTGTTTGCGATGTGGAGGCTTCACGAATGTGATGTTGCGGCTTCTCCTTACTATTTTCCTTCACCGTGTCCATAATCGCGACTGCATGAAATAAAAAAAATCCCAATCAGATTGGATTTCAACCCAGGCTCCCTGTTGAGCGGTCGAGTATTCTACAGCACAGCCACCCCGATGTCTGAAACTCTTTTGCAAAAAAAAAAAAAGCATCATGCCATGCAAGAAATCTCGTCAAATCAACTGTCAACCAATTTTTAAAGCACCCATTTATTTTAACCAAATGGAAAGCTTACTGGTGGGAGTGTCCAATTGCAAAACAGTAACGTGGAAAAAGCTGTGAAACATTTGAAATCGGAAAGAAAACTGACAACCATGCTGCAAACAGCATGAGAGCAATTCATGTTCGAGCGCGTCGGCTGTTGCACGGCATTTTTCCTTGGCTACCACGAAGGCAGCACCCCTCCTCCCTGTGAAACTCCTTTTAACTTCTAAGCAGCCCAAAATAGAGTGGGCATATATAATTACACAGTCGAACACGGACATATCAAACTCACATATATCGAATTTACGGGTATATCGAACGCGTAAGTTATCCTTTTGAAATTCCTGTGTACAAATGTAGAAATTCGCACGTTTACATCGAACAGTATTTTTACCAGCCTTCCATGATATAGAATCGCCGCGTGAGCTGGAAAGTGCGCTTTGGCACACGCAGTGCCCGGCGACCTCCGCGCGGCACCATGCCTCCACCCTGCAACGCTAGAAAAAAGGTAAGGGCGAGAGGGCTTTTCTTACTTGCGAGACGGCTTTTTTTTCTTTTTTTTTTCATTTCTTTTTCTCTCTCTCATGCTTTCTCCGTATACCCGTCGGCTACAAGGCCAAATGGTTTGCCACTGCACTCTGTGAAACAACTTCACTGCCAACACCGGGTGGCTTCACCGATTTAAGCAGCGCCACAACACCGTTAGCAAAACTATTTCTGGTGAGAGCGAAGCTGTCAGCAGCCAGGACATCTAGCAGTGGGTGGCAAAGGAGTGGCCAGAAATCTCCGCGAAGTTTTCTCCCAGAGAGACCCTTAACGCCTGGCGAGACATGAAGACGGATATAGTGGTCAACTGCTTCCGCAAGGCAGGCTTCAAGACAGCGGAACTTGCGGAAACCAGTGAAGACGATGAGCGCATAGATGACGCGTTTCGCGAGTTGTCTTGCTTTCCAGCAGCAGTTCTACACAAAGTGTCTGCTCACTATTTCGAGGAAGCAGACTGCAACGTCCGGGCTGTTGCGAGCCTCACCGACCAGGACATCGTAGCTGCGGTGACAGAGAACCAGAATGCCCGGAGCGGCAGCTCATGTGACGTAGAGGATCGTCCGGACGAGGCGCTAGCTACACGCACGTACTCCGCCGCTGAAGTGGCGGCAGCGTTCGACGTCATTCGCCATTGTATCGGCCAAATGAAGGGAACCGGCCTGTCACACCTGGACAGCCTTGATAAGATCGAGACTAACAACTTCAGCATTTCAAAAATGAAGAAGCAGGCCAAGATAAGCAATTTCTGCACACAAGTAAATCATTATGTTGCGGCGTGTGTGCAGAATTAGTTGTCATTCTTGAATGCATATATTGTAGGTGGTGATCCGCTATAGGTAAGCTCTCGGGACCTGTATTTTTTCATAACGAATTTTTCGTATATCGAATTATTTCGTGATCCCCTTCGAGTTCAATATATATGTGTTCCATTGTATAAATAGTACTCCAACAATGAAGCCTAATAATGGCGGACATGACAGTATCAGATTACTTGCCGCAAAGTGATCAACCTCACATTTCCAGCTTCAAGGCTATTCCGCTTGGCTGCACAACATACTGGTTCTTGTTACTTTTATTCACTATTTAAAAATTAAATCCTACTCAAAGCACGAAAAGAATGCTTGAATCTGTCACTATACTTAACTTTCTTTTCATTTCCACCAGAATCTGAGCGCACACTCTGACCAGTTGCCGGTACCTTCAATATATATTTAACACAGCATAGAAATAACCGAATGTAACACAATGCGAACTGCACATTGTGTGACACCCGGTTTTGCTGCAACTGCACTGTGGGTTCCGTGCAGGCCTGGTAATTTTTTTGTTTTCCTACTTCTAGCCGAATTTGGGATGTTTCCCCAAACAAATATAACATAAGCAGACAAACTCACTATTTGGCAGAATCTGTCAGCTGGTACTCGCGACGCCTATCGTAGCACTCCTGGATGCCATCATCACCCCAAAGCTGCTTGATCGCATCCACGTAGGGCTTCTCAAAGGTCGTGACTGTTTCGTAGTCTACAGACATTACCAAATTCGCATTCTCCTGCAAAAGAAAGCAGTTAAAAGCAACAGTAAGCATAAGAGCCAATACCTATTTTACGTGAATCACCAAACACATCAAATGCTGGTTCCAACACACCAGTATTCACTGAATGAAAAATGAAAAACCTTATTTTATAAAGCCCATCTGAATACTCCATGCAGTTGACAGTATCATTGCTAGCGAATGCCTCTACCTTAACTTTTAAGCTTCTTCACACTGTCAGAATATTGAGATGACTGACTAGCAAGTTAATTCAATAAGCAACTTAGAAATAATGTTCAACGGTATTACATAACCAAGGTCACCTAGTAACTACGTACATAAACAAGTGTGCAAAAATTAACACAAAGATGTCTACTTGCATACCTGCCAACATAGGGACTTTGTCTCAAGTGGGGAGACTAGGCACAGGAGAGAAGGGTTAAGGGTAGAAAAACATGTTCCAGGTGATGCACGTGACCAGTCAACTATATTGTTCTCATTGCTATTGGTCACTTCAAAAGAGCCCTGCGGCACTTTTTGAACATACTCGGAATTCACTGCAGATCAGTGATTGAGGCTGTTCTGAACATGAACCAAATACAACAGTGCACGACGCATGGAATTCATGCTTTTATTTTATGGACATCTGAAAATGGTTCACTGTATTCTCGGCCAACCAAAACAAACATTGCAAATGGCAGATTCCATTGCTGTGGAAACTTTCATAATGGCAGTTTTGCGTTCAATAAACAACAAATTTATCTCTCTTTGGATACATTAAAGAAGGCCTCTTAGTTATTCCTGTCCTAATCAATGGTCATCAGCTTATTTTGCTTCTTCCCATGTTCAAGTAAGGCAGCATGCGGCTTGGCAAAGCCTGTGCCATTTTGGACGCTAGGACCCGAGTGAATCACTTGCCTCTCATTGCACACACTATCAGAGTATGAACAGATTCATATTTCCACATGTGGTTATAAACTTCATCTTGATGTCTTCGTCTTTCAGCCACAGCAGCTATCAACACTCAGCGCGAATCATGCCACATCTGAGAAGGTTCGAGATCATTTCAGATCCTCCTGTTAAGAATGCCAGGTCGAATGTGAATAGACTAGTTTATTCCCGAGCTTACATGACCACCAGGGATAAGTTCTGATAGCACATGTACAAAAGCTCAGACACTTTACCTCTTAGTTTCATTCACGGTCAACCCTTTGTTCGTCACTCTCTGAACAGTGTGTATTGCTGCAGTTCAACCCTCCTGTTTCCCAGTCGAAAGTTCGGTCAAATGAAGTTTCATCTTGGACACGTCTACTGCTGCCTTTGACAACATCACGACTCCGTGATGATATTGTAAGTTCCAAACACACTGACACACTGGCCAGTGCATGCTTTATTTCTTACGTGCCTCGCAAAATAGAAAGCCTTGGAACTCGACTTATTGAAACTGCTTCAAAGCACATTATCCGAGTTTCGTTACCATCTTTCGGTCAACCTTACAAGACAGAACAGCACAGAGAGCACCAGCTACTCACAGAGCTTGGTAACACATTTGAACAACTCTGGCACAGTAGTGCCAGAAGTGCTTCTGCGCTAGATAGTTACCACGGGCTTGACAGATCCTGCGGCGGTAGAGTCACAATGACTAGCGAACATACTGGCACTGTAGGGCTTTATTCTTTTTTCCCACCTTCAAATCTGGGTTGGGGCAGTGTATGAAAATTTTACAGCCACGGTCATACATTCAGAAAGACTGGTCATAAATTAGGAGTCTTCAGAGAAAAAATTGGGAAAGTTCGCAGGTATGCACTTGCATACTGATAGTTCAGCAGGTTACTCCTAGATGGTACTAAATGCTGTCCTACTGAACTGATGATGACATCAGCACCATATTCCACCACATCATACAACTCAGTTCCATGGTGCTGAAGTGTCACGTTACAGTGAAAAGCCATTGTCCTGAACAGCTTTAGCCATCACTGAACTAACTACGGAAAGTCTCTCAATCATACAGTCTGTCACAAATGAGCGCATCCATTCATAATTAGGTTACGAGCATTCTGCGGCTACTTCCCATCGATTTAGAGTGGCTTTCCAAAACACTCTTAGAAACAAAATTCTGAACGAGAGGTCCAGAATGATATTGTAACATGAAGGTAGTAGACACACGAGCACAGAGCTGGTGTACAGTAAAATCTCGTTTATCCAGACCTCGTTAACTTGGACTTGTAGCGTGGTCCCGGCAAAACTGTGTATGTTTCAATGCGGTCAAATCCTCATAAATTCGGAGGGATTTAGCCGCGCACAGGTTATCTCAGACAACATGCAACTTCAGAGTCACGCGATCTCGGCGGCTTGGAGGCTCGAGCATCGCTTGCCGTAACCGATGGAGGAACCAGAGTTTTAGAGAAACTGAAACCGAACCAACTGCACAAGAATATGATCATGATGATGGTTAATGATGGGGAAGTGGCTAGGTGGCACTAGTTACCAGCCTGCGGGTCACCGGCACATCCAGTTTGGGCCACTGGCACATCCAGTCTCTACTAACAGCTGCTCCCTACGCCTGCTGGTGTACTTCGCGACTTGGTTGACGTGGTTCTTTGCATTGTTACTACATTTGTTGCGGCTGTGTGTGTGCGCGTTTCCACCGCCGTCACGCTACATATCGATGGCGACCATCACAGGAGTTAAGCGGCCAACAACAGCCAGCAAATGATCTTGAAAGAAAGCTGATGATATTGAAAGATGTGAACGCAGGTGCTTCTCGACAAGAGATTATGAAAAAGTATAATGTTAAGAGAAGCACCTTAGGCAACTATGTGAAGAACCAAGCAAAAATTTTTAAGGCGATTGACAGCGGCAGATTCACCGGAAAACGGAAACGAGTAAGGACGGCAGCACACCCGAAGGTGGAAGATGCCCTGCTGTGGTAGATAACAGACACGTGGAATAGCAAGCTTCCCTTGAGTGGACTGTTGATCTGTCAGCAAGTTGAAAGGTACACACTGACAACGAACATTGAATCTTTCAGTGCTTCTTAGGGCTGGTTTGCCCGCTTTAGAGACTCCAAAGACACGGGTTGGTCTTTCAAAACGTGTGCGGGGAGAACAAGCAGCAGTTGACGAACGGCGTATTGCTGACTGGAAGACAACTGAGCTTCCCCAGTACCTAGCTTGTTATAACCCGTCAATGTCTTTAATTCCGATGAAACAGCTCTTTTTTAAAGCCTTGCCAGAAAAAACGATCACATTCAAGGGTGACCCGTACGTTGAAGGGAAGAGGAGCACAGAAAGGGTCACTGTGCTTCTCGCTTTAAATATGTCGGGCACCGAGCACCTGCCCCTGCTAGTCATCGGGAAGGCCAGTAATCCAAGGTGTTTTAAGAACACCACTTTTCTGTACAATATCGCGCCAATGGAAAGGCCTGGATGAGGTCGAATATTTTCCAAGCTTGGCTGCGCCAGCTCGACCGCCGTTTCTCTGCTAAAAAGCGCAAGGTTTTACTTCTAGTTGACAACTGCAGCGCTCATACCAGAGTGACAGGGCTGGAGTGTATCGAACTTATATTTCTATCTGCAAACACGATGGCTGCTCTGGGAATGCTGAATCAAGGAATAACTCAGCACGTAAAAAGCAGGTACAGAAAGCATGCCCTAGAACGGATCCTGCTGTGCAAGCAAGCAGGACGAGAATATGACGCGGCTCTACTGATCGCAATTCACATTTTAGCACATGTCTGGAGCAAAACGCGGCTCGCGGTCATTGCAAGTTCTTTACGGCACAGCGGCTTTGTCCACCCTGATGACTCGCATATTCCTCCAAAGGCCACTTCAGTGGACACCCACGAGCCCCCTGTAAATATGAACGACGAGGTGAATGACATGCGTTTTGACTCTCTACTTCCGAGTGGCATCCAGATTTCAAACTACATCGCTAAAGACTATCATGTTGCCGTTGCTGGTCGGCTCACTGATGATGATATACAGTCAAACACATTTATATCAAACCCAAATATATAGAATTTTCAGGTTTATCAAACTCCCAAGTTATCCCCTTGAAATGCCTTTGTAAAAGTATAGAAATTCGCATGTTTATATCGAACAATATTTTTGCCTGCCTTCGATTATACAGAACGCCGCGCGAGCTGGAAGGTGCGCTTCAGCACTTGCCGCGCCCCGCAATCTCCGCAGCAGCACGGCTCCGCACACAAGTTGGAAGGCGCGCTCTCGCACTCACAGCGCCCGGCAACCTCCTCGCAGCACCACGCCTCCGCCAAACCCGGAACGCTTGAAAAAAAAAAAAAAAAAATAAGGGAGAGAGGACTCTGAGTGCGCAGTCTATAACTTGCAGAACGGCCCTTTTTTTCGTTCTCTCTCTTCATGCTTTCTCCGCGTATCTGTCTGCTCGGCTCGGAGAGCAGGAACGAAGGAGCTGACAACCTCCTCCTTTCTCTTTTTATTTTTTGTTGATGTTTTGTGAGTTTCGATCAGGCAACCACACCTCGCACCTTTTGTTGTAGCCCTCACAAGCGCTTTGTTGTTTCGGTTGTCGCGTCGCCTACGTGCCACCGCATTTGCAGCATTCCTCTTTAGCGTGTGTCGTATGCAAAGCTGCTGCAGACTCCTTTTCATTCTCGTGTAGCTATGGCCAGCGTCAAGAAGCGCAAGACCCTTGACTTTGCGACAAATTGAAGGCGATTCAGCATGTTGAGGCGGGCGAGAAATGTTCGATCGTTGGGGACGACTCTGGGATACCACGGAGCACGCTGAGTACCGTGTTGAAAAACAAAGCAGACATCAAGGCAAAGGATACGGAGCAGTGAACGTCGGGAGCCTATCATGGGTGCGCTCATGACCACGGGAATGTAGAAAAGGCACTCTATGCCTGGTTTTTAGAAGTGCACGCTAGGAACATTCTGGTGAATGACCCCATGCTGATGGCCAAGGCCAAATGGTTTGCCGCTGCACTCAGTGAAGACAGCTTCGCCGACAACACTTGGTGGCTTCACCAATTTAAGCAGCGGCACAACATTGTTGGAAATACCATTTCTGGCGAAAGCGACGCTGTCAGCAGCCAGGACATCTAGCAGGGATGACGAAGGAGTGGCCGAAAATCTCCGCGAAGTTTTCTCTCACGGAGATCTTCAACGCCAACGAGACCGGTCTCTTTTGGCAAATGTTGCCAAGCAAGACTTCCGACATCCGCGGTAGCGCGTGTAATGGGAGCTAAATGAGTAAAGTTCGCGTGAGAGTTCTGCTAGCAGTCAAGATCGATGGGTCTGGAAAGCTACAGCCCTTTGTGATCGGAAAAGCAAGGGCACCGCACTGTTTTAAGAACTGTAAGCAGCTCCCCGTCCGCTAAGCCTCGAACAAGAAGGTGTGGATGATGCAACAGCTGTTCATGGAATGGCTACAAGCATGGGTCGTCGAGCTGGGCAAGTTGGGGTGTCGCGCTTGCCTTCTTGTGGACAACTGCTCGGCCCATCACACCACCTGCGAGCTCAAAAACATTGAGCTGCCCATCACACCACCTGCGAGGTCAAAAAGATAGAGCTGAAGTTTCTGCCACCCAACACGACAGCGAAGCTGCAACCACTTGACCAGGGCATCATCAAGTTCTTCAAGATGGGCTACAAGAGGCGACTCCTTGATAGGCTGCTGATCAACCTCCGCATGGGCACTGAGCTGAAGGTTGACCTTCTCTGTGGCACACAAATGATGACGGGTGCCTGGTGAGACGTGAAGACGGACACAGTGGTGAACTGCTTCCGCAAGGCAGGCTTCGAGACGCCAGAACTTGCGAAAACCGGTGAAGACGGTGACGATGACTGCATAGAGTAGTTCCACGCGAAGTGTCGGACAAATTCGTGGAAGCAGACGGCGATGCCCAAGTCGTTGCAAGCCTCGCTGACGAGGGCATAGTAGGTGTGGTCGCAGAGACCCAACATGCCCAGGCTGACAGCGTTTGGCAGCCGTTGTATCGGCGATATGGAAGGGCACCGCTCTGTCGCACCTGGACAGTCTTCAGAAGATCAAGACTGGCGTCAACTTCATTTCAAAAACGAAGATGCAGGCCAGGATAAGGGGTTTTTTTTTCACGCAAATAAATCATTTTGTTGCGGTGTGTGTGCAGAATCAGTTGTTATTCTTGAATGTGCCTATTGAAGGTGATGATCCGCTACAGGTAAGCTCTCAGGGCCTCTATTTTGTTACATAGATTTTTTTCATATATCGAACTAATTCGCGATTGGCTTCGATATATATATCCGCAATCGACTGTATTGTTGGAAGTGCTTGAGGAGGACCAAAATAACTGTTCCGATGATGACAGTCAAGATGAGCCGCCAACGGGACATCGCCGAACCGTGCACGAGGCCGCCGAAGCCCTCACAGTCCCCGGGGAGTTCTGTGTTTGTTCTCGCGACAGTGAACGTGCTCACCACCACCTATGGCACTAAATAAGATCGTTCTGTCAGAAATTCCGACGACGGAGCAGGCAAACATAACAGACTTTTACAAGAAATTAAGGTTTTTCTGTGCCATGTACATTTTCTTTTTGTTTTCATGGTCCATTCAACATTTAGGAATTCGGTTAACTCTGACATTTTCTCCGGTCCCGTGAGATCCGAGTTAACAAGCTTTTACTGTATTAATGGCCAATATAGCTGCTGCCCAAGCAGCGACAAGAGACGTCGCCTTCTTCTCGTCGGAGCGAGCATCTCGTGCTCTTTGCCGCAACAATATATAGTAGCCACATTCAACTGGACTTCACTCTTATGTGGCAGTAGAGGCAAACAGCACAGTTTTTTTTATTGCTTCTGTTGTATTTTACACCGACCTTTGAGCATACTGATGAGGTTTTGACAAATGCACCAGCGCAGTCTCAACACCAATGCGAAGTGCTCTTAAATACTTTTTAATCAGGCTGGACTGCATGCCACAGGAATGCCATATGGATAGCTCAGAAACAACTTTTACCAATCAAAGTTTCTTGATGTAGAGCAAGATTAGAACAAGTACCACATGATGCCACAAAACAAAACAAAAATTTCGTGCTCGCATCCAGGCCTTCATTATCTCCAGCGTTGATCACGAAGCAGGTTTGTCTGCCCGCAAGTATGCATGCTCCCTACTTATCTTCCTTGCAAAGAGAGGAAGAACACTCGGCCAGCAGGAAATATGAGCCAACGAATAGAGCATAACAAAGTCAAGAGCAAAACGAGCGAGGGCCAGATTAAGATCGTAAAAGGAGTGTGCAAAAACTTTTCACGGCCATGTGTTCACTGCATACTCATGCACAACTGCCACACAAATAAATTTCCACCTCTTGGTAAAAATTTGCTACACACAGGAATGAAATGAAGAGGTAAGGATTAGTACTCAATTATATTAGTTTGCATATATGGTATGGGAGCGTGCACATGACATGATGCTGCCCCCAACCTCCAACTACTCACTAGCTCGTGTCCCTAGGCCCAGCTTTGAATGGTGGATGAAGGTAGAGAGAGAGCTTTGTAAGGAGTCTAGTCCTGATGACTCTTCAATGCTGCCCTCCTGCAGGGCCCAACTGGCTACCATAGATTGCCGTGCCCGGTCGAAGGCCACCAACTGAATTCACAAGTTCAGTTTAGTGAGTCATGCTTCTGAAGATAATTTCTACAGTTCCTTTCATGCGGTTTGTGGGAGATCACAGCACTTGGACGGTTCGTGAACTGTCTGTCGTGCGTGTGTTAGTGTTGCATTATGTCTCCCTACCAGGTCAGATTTTTGTGAATCCACCCGGGGCAGATGGCACAACAGTGTCAAGTGTGGATATTTGCCGGTCCATCCGAGGCACCAGTCCCTAGCTTGCTGTCTTGCAAATTCTTATGGAGAAAAGTGAGCTATCATCTCGTTAGGTGTTCATCTTCCAGTATCTGACTGCTGTTGTTCTCTCTACCCTCAGCATTCACTTCACCAGAGCTAACAATAATTTGCCTGTAGACACAGCCAGCACCTCCTTCATTTTTTCAGTGTCTGGGCGAAGGAGCGGACAGCAATGGGAAGCGGCCATCAGCGTTAGTGTGGCTTTTAGTCAGCAGGCGCCGCCACCGGAATAGACCTGCCGTCAGTCATCTCTTGCGCAAACAAATAGACTTATTCGTTGACAGTTCAGATGCAGTGCAGTCACGTTTAGTGATACCAACTGCCATGCTTGCTAACATGATGGGTAGAGATACCAAGTTCTTTGTGGCACTTCGTCTATTCACAATGTCTTCTATGCAGTCAAATTGAAATTTGCAAGGCAAATACACAGCTCATGCTTTTAGCTCAATAGCCATTGAACAAATGCACACAACATTCCATATCATTTACTTTGATTTACGAAACGTGGAGTGAATGGTTCAGCCCATATAATCTGTTTTTCATTGCAAATTGATACATGCAGAGTGACCCTAAATGGCTGATTCATTTGCAATCACACAAAACTGAGAGTTAAAAAGCTCATCTAACAAGGCCATCAAGTACAAGAGTTAGGACTACAGAAAACTTTTAATTGCAACGAAGTGTCCATAATGGTCCACACCTTTGCTAGAAATGTCAGTTGATCCTTCTCTCCTTGCACAAGCAGTGTAATTAATAACCACACAAATGTTTTGTCAGTCATAATATCTCACCTGGTTTTCTGGAGAACGGAAAGGAATCTTCAGCATTTCCCTTGCCTTGATCATGCTTTGCATGGCCATAAAAATGTTTTGATAGACAAGCTTGATGAAGCCCTTCTTGTCTTCATCATTATAGCCATGACCATGAATAATTCGCATCTGCTTGATGAAGGTGCTTTTTCCAGACTCGCCTGTGCCTGCACACGATATAGGAATGTCAACACAACCAAAAATTATACAGGTATCCTACATAGCAACCACTGCTACGGAACACTAACAAACTCAAAACTTCCTTGCACAAAAGATATTGAGCTATAATGAACTTTTTATCATGCTTGCACTGCTGCAAAAGTTATACAAAAAGCACAGATAGTGTAATTGTTTAAATCTATCAATGCACTCATTTGACAAAGCTTGAATTAGAGACTCCTATTTAAAAAATTTTACACTCGACTACTTCAGCACGTGATGTTCTGTTAGCAAATGTGGACAACGCACTACTGAATCTACCCATATTGCAACGTCACGTATGCATATTCTTCCAGACTTACCAATCTTCTGTGTACCGAAAATAAAAATGATCTCGCCTTCATAAGCAGCCTCTAACAAAACGAATAGCACCACTTCTTAGTATGCATTTCATACAAAAAACTGGGCCACATTATATTGCAAACAAACCTGACTTTACATGGAAAGTTTCCTGAGCCTCCATTAAACCAAAGGAGCCACAGCATGGTAAGGCGATGAAAAAACTAGGACACATAAAGAGGCGTTTGAGCAAGTCTTCACAAAAGTTAAGCTACTAGCCTACAAAACATTTATTCGGCCATTCTTGGAATATTGGGCCACTGTTTGAGATCTATACACAAAAAAAAACATTTTAATATTGGAAAAAATACAGAGAAAATCAGTGAGGTTCACATTTCATAAATACAGCTGGGAGACATCGGCCGCATCTCTTTTAGAAACTGGTGAGCACGAGAAATTAGAAATTTGGCGATATCGTGAGCGAATCAAACTTTTTATCTTCTTTATCATAGACCTTTATTATAGACAGTAAGGTATCAAAAAGAATACATATCTAAAAGACGCTCACCGGCGGCCTACTCGGATGATGATGATATATGGCTTTTAATGGCGCGAGTGCCATACTTGGCCAAAGAGCGCCATGAGAAATGCTGATAAAATGGCAATGGTACATGATTTGATACAATACGTACAGGATATGAACTATGGTACTGTTTCGTGGCTGCAAAGAGGCCTAAAATTTCATGCCCTTAAGTGGGTTAAAACATACAAGTATTTAGAATGATGGAAGTGACGTGAAATGTGTGTAGCGAAAGTGAGAGACAATGTTCGTGGTGATAAAACTAGATTGAGTAGATGAGATTAGCACGAATGCCTCATCAATGCATGCCTTTGAACCCAAGGGCAGCGAGGCAGGTGCTGTCTTTAATGGAGCCACCGCAGCCTCGACCTCTGTACAGAGGTCATGCTACGATCACCTCGAAATATGGAGTGAAAACTATCTATATCTTTTAAAAACATGAACAGCGATTCAAGCTTAAAAAGAAGATCTCTACCGATGAACATGACTGGATGCAATGGAAGTTGCTGTCGGTAGGGCACTAAAAAGTGCTGTTTTCTTAGAGTCTAGCTCATTGCACTGACCAAGTATATGAAAAACCGTAAGCGGTTCCCCACATCTGTCACAGATGGGTTGCTCACCGTCAGATAACAAATGTGCATGTGTGCTGTGTGTGTGTCCTATTTGTAATCTGGTGAACGTTACTTGTGTGTAGCGTGATCTGAATACTGGTGGCCAATTTCAAGTCTCGGTTTCATTACATGTAATTCGTTTTGCGTTTGTGTATCTCATAGCCACTGCCAACACGCCATGAGCTCCCGTCGAAGGAAGGGCTTCGGGAAAGGCTTCAGGCGGCCTACTCGGTCCCATCATACTAAAAAATTAGTCGAGTTTGCCAGCCGCACCAATATTTTTCAGGATTTTTTTCCCCCCATGACTGTAACCAGTTGAAATTCTCTCCCCTCGGCTGTGGTGGAACGCCCGCCGCTGTCATCCTACCTTCAGGCCCTTTCACACCATAGCTCTGACGTACTTGTTCATGAACACTGACAATATTTAATTATGTTGCCGATTCATAGCTACCGTTACTTAGTTATGTTGCATAGTCAATAGAATATGTTGCTTCCTTGCTTGTACGAATTTCTTTTGTTTTTTTCCTTTCCTTATATTTTAATTCATTGTTCTTATTGATGTTCATTTGGGGCATTTTTTTATGTATTTTCTAACCAAGGTTTTCATTGTCATTTCTGCAATACACCATATGTAAGCATTTTTAATATTCACTTGTATCCACTTCTGCCCGAGGGCTGATGATCAGACCGGCAGTATTGTAATAAATAAATAAAATGAGATAAAATGCATCGATAGACAGGCACTGGAAATTCGCCCTTAAAAACAAGAAAAAAAAAGACTATTTTCTTATACACACTATCTTTTATAATAATGAACATTCAATGTACCGTGCGACTACACACTTAACCACAGCAATCTCGATCTGGTTTCGTCCTACAAGTACCTAGGAGTATATATTTCTAACAATCTCTCTTGGAACACGCATGTCGATTATATTACAAACAATGCGAATCGCACGTTAGGTTATCTGCGCAGAAACTTTTCTTTGGCTCCGACTAACCTTAAACTTCTGCTTTATCAAACATTAGTCCGACCCAAACTCGAGTACGCGTCATCAGTCTGGGATCCACATACCAATTACCTCGCTGACAGCATCGAGGCGGTTCAAAATCGCTCGGCACGTTTTGTCATGTCAAACTACCATCGCACGTCCAGTGTTACCTCGATGAAAGCCAATCTTCACTTGCCCACTCTCTCACTGCGGCGTAAAATATCTCGCCTTTGCCTGTTCCATAAGATCTTTCATTGTATTCCGTCTTTTAGCAACACTCTTTTCCAGCCCCCATCGTACGTTTCCTCACGCAACGATCATCAGTTTAAGGTGGGCGTTCCTAGCGCCCGCACGAATTTATATTTTGAATCATTCATCCCGAAAACTGCAAATGAGTGGAACCACCTTCCCGCCCCTATCGCTGCTATCACTGACCTCACTTTGTTTAAAAACGCCCTCTCTAACCATTTCGCGTAAATTCGCCACTTAAGTCACGCTGTGTTTTCTCTTGTTAGTTTTTTGTGTGCGCGTGTCATTCAAAGACGCAACCATGTTGAACACTGTTGTTACAACCACCCAGCCTCTTCTTCACATCACGCATTCTTTCTTTTCTTTTATGGTTTTCAGACTGCCATTGTGCGCATAATTCTGATTTGCTGTATTTCCTGATTTTCTGTACGATGTATACCCGCTCCTCTCTGTAATGCTTCGGCCTTGACAGTAAATAAATGAAATGAAATGAAATAGTGAATTCACAGCAGCTATTTTGAAGTGTTTGCTTAATGTGTTCATTGCTGTAGAAATGTTTTACTTGCATGTACAGCAGCAGAGTTCTAAAGGAATAACCAATCAGTCTAAACAGGCATAAAGTTTCATTTTAAATACGCAGCAGACTCATATCAATACATACCTGTACAAGACATTTTGCAATTACGGTTTGATACAACTTTAAAAGGGCTTGGCATTTCCTCCCCAATGGCAGACACATGGTCAAGCCTGCACGCATTCTGGGCTGACGACATGAGCCAGACTACCAGTGACTCTGCCGTTGGAAAACATTACCAAGGGCAGGATCAATATTTCTTTAATTGCGGACGCCATCGACAACAGCACTTGGGTCACCTGGGCGAGGCATTCCATACTTTGAAGTTGCACACAACCGTAGGTGCACAATACGTCAACATTTAGTTGAGTTTCCTGCTGACCTAATGAAAAACTAAAGCCTGCTGAAAACAATGCAGCAATCTCGTTTCGGTGAAATTGAGCAACTGTCACTAATGCCTGTTACACAGACCAGCTAGAGGCTTTATATCGGCAATGCCTTGGGCTGGTAATATACACATATACCATACATAAATAGATACTGGGCATTTCAAAGGCAGAAACTACATGCTTATGAGGCACACTACAGTGTGGGACACTTTGAATTCTGTTCACTCAGGTTTCCTAAATGTGCAATAACTATTCTTAGGTATATGAGTGTTTCTGCATTTTTCCCCCACCCAGATGCAGCCGCTATGGCATGAAACCAGACCGGCTAGCTGGCTGAATAAAAAGCACATGTCATTTTTGTAGGCATTAACAGTTACGCTAGCAATATATGGCTCCTACATGATGTCATGGACGCAGTTTCTGAAATGAGCTGGGACTCTACGATGGCGTCCTTGATAAAAAACAAATTCCATCTATGTGAAAACAACACGGCAGGAAAGTCTCTGTGTGTGAATAATGAAATAACCTACATGTAATGTTTTGATAACAATGTTAGATCGAAAACGTTGCGTCCACACATACTGGTGCTCCAGCATGGCACTTTCAGAGAGGTCAGTGCAAGCAGCGACATGAAAACATTCAGGGCTGGTAACAAAATTTATTGAAGAGTTTTGGGCAAGCCTGTCGCAAGATCATTTGGCAAATCAAAATAATAATAAATACAAACAAGAAAAAAAGCAGACGGCAGCAAAAGCATCATTATCATCATCAGTCACAAAGTCGATTCACAGGCTGGCAATATAAGTGCAAGGGCAATGCAAAGGAGCCTAGCAAAAAGGAATACAACTGGCAATACTCAACATAATTGGGCACGTAACATTCAATAACGTTCTTTCTGCGAGCTAAGTGAAAGTGGAAGCTTTTGAGAAAGTGTAGATATGCATGGTTGGACTAATACATATTACACAAGTGTAAAAAATGGCACTTTGTATCAGGTAAATCCCACAAATGTCACCTCTTATAATCTGCGACTAGGATTGATTGCTTCCTATATTATCTTGTGTTGTATATATTTTGGAGCGCAAGAAACACAGCAGGTTCCTAGTGCTGTAAATCATACCCGCTATAAACAGATGTCCCTTGATGTTGTTTTAATGAGGAATTTTTACTGCATCAGTAAATTACAACTGCAGGTGAGCGTCATATCAAGTCTTATAATATTGTGTGTGCTCTGCCAACCATATTGATTGACACACTTGATTTAGGCCACAGTGCTGGCAGTGAAATTTCGTTCTAGCTTCAACAGCACCACATCCTAACTGCGAAACATACTGTGCTAATACACAGCATGTCAAGCCGTAGCCTTTTGCACAACATGCTCTATATCCATGGGAGCTACTTCAGTGGCACCATATTGCCAGTCATTTTATAGCTGCTGCTACAGTTCTGGTTTTATTAAAACAAAGGAGGACATTGCCGAACTCAAAGTAGAACTGATTTATGCATATTTCAATGTTGTTCATTGCAAAATAAACAGCACAAGCTCCCCTTCAAGAGACCGTAAAGGCATGAGGAAGCCAGATGTGCCCAACAGTTATACAGTGGGCTACTTGGCTCACTTTCATTATGATAGGAAAGAGCAGACTTGTCTAGTGAAACACACAGGGCAATACGCAAGGCAGATATACCACAACTAATGATGAGGCAAACAAAACTTCAGGTGTCCATGTCTCAAGCTTACACGAAGCCTAGAGCTTGCTAGAAAAAAAAAATCACCTGCAATTCTCAGCATTAGCATCCTTTCAAGGTGCAGCATACATTCATGTTACAAAAGCTTCAAAGCAAACGCTAGCGTGCCAAATGGCTGTAAACTCGGAAGGCCTTCATGATGCTTCACAACTTCCCACCCACTTGCAAAGGCCTGATGCAAGGCTATGTTTCACAACAACAGCAATATAAAAAACGTATCCCAGCCCACTCAGGATTGCCTGTGCAATGGCAACATATATTGAAGCGTAGTTTGGGTGAAATGAGTTAAGCCATTGCTATTTCTTTTGTAAGCATTACAAAATGACAACACATTTAGTGTTTGTTACCAAAGAATAATGAGAACATTAGCAGCATCAGACAGAATAGTGAACTGATGGTTTAGCGCAGCCCTGCTGTGCTGCAGAAAATCTGCCCAATGCAGAATATTAAAAATACAAGCAAACTGCAAAACAAAAGAAAGTTCTGTCTTTTCCTTTACTTCAATACATATATACATGAGTTCTTTTTCTGTTTAATGTGCAATTCATAATGTGTTAGAGTTCAATGCATGCAAAAATGATAAATCTGGCTCATCAAAGGTGCGCTGAACTTGCAGAAAGCCTAGTAAATCAACTATTAAACACGGTAATGCCTTATGTATTCCAACAGACTTGTGAACAAATGTTTCCAATGATAACTAGCTGCCATCGCTTGACACAATCACAGTAGCAAACAGGATATGACTAATGTGCAAAACAAGTAGGCAAGGCCAGCTTCCTCCACAAGTATGCGAGATAATACCTGGTGCGGACAAAACGAAATGCTAGCACACATCGCCACGAAATCTATGGGCGCATATGGGCCCTTTTAGAGTGTGTTTCGCTTGAACTCGAACGTGTCTTATGGCTAAGAGCTTTCTAATACCCGCGATCAGAGCTCTACTATTACAGAGTATAGCTGGTGCCTACGCTTTGACAGCCTGTACGCCCCAACAATCGCGATGAAAGTACAGGCCAAGAAGCGACCAAAAGGAAACCATGCAAGCAGAACCTTTCGAGGTCGCTTTTTTGCGGTCATCTCTACACCTTCTGATCTCGCAGGATCAACGCCACGTCTTTTCTTTTTTCGCGTCTACGTCCAGCTCGCGCTGTGCAAACGGCGCTGTTTACGAGATCGCGCCTTGCCAGAACACCGCCTGCCCCCACCACGCCTACTTCAGTGGCCTGCCTGCTCGTGCGCTTTTTTTTTCTAGAAACGTTACAAACACACAAAAAAAAATATCGTCGCTTCCAACGTGTACTGCCCGGCGCAAGGAAAGGATTTCAGCCCCAAAATAGCGACGTCCCGCCGAAATGCACGTAAACCGATTTCGCTGGTAGCACTGCTTCGATATTGGGAAACCGGTGCCCAGTCCAATACACGTCGACGTTCGCGGAAAAGAAGCAGACAGCACGCTAGCGATATATTTCGAGGTGCAACCGGTGCGCCCACCTTCTTCGGGATAGCGATGCCACACAATCGCGCAAGCGGAAAAAACGATCGGTGCAAATCCGAAATGAGCTGAAAACGAATCGCACCGGAGGTGTGACCACTGCGCGTAGTTTACAAGACGCGTTCTTGAATGTTCCGCGGCGATCGGAGTTATAACGAGCTGCTATTCAGCATCTGTGCACTTCAATACAACTGAGAAACGCCGTAATAGACCAAAAAGACTCCTTTCTCGCGTGTGCAGCAGCCGGCGCAGCGTTTTGGGCCGTCGGCTCTAGTATAAGGCGCTAGCACACCGGTACAGCAGCGGGCTGCACCTAGTACAGCTCCGCTACACTCCTCACGTGCACGGCGCTGCTTCAAAAGGCCCCGCACGATACGAGCTTGGATCAGTCGCAAAGTTTAAGGAGATTTTTAGCGCTTGAGGCACCGTAATAGGCTTAGTACCGGCCAACGTTTAGGCCTAAACCAACATGGCCGCCCCATACACAGAACCTGTCATGTAATTTTGGAGTGTAGTTTATCCGTGCGCAACATGCAATCCGTGCTACTTACCGAGTAGCAAGAGCTTGAGCTCCCGCCGGGCATCACGCTTATCCTTTCGTAGTTGTCGCTCGATCTCTTGGTTGATTCTTCTCTGTTCTTTCGCTTCTTCGCTAATGCAACACGCCATCATGATCGCGGACTCCTCTGAACACCCGCCGTCCAGTTTGTCACTCCGACGACTCCGTGGTGCCACAGTCACAACAGGCGTTCGCCGGACAATCCACAAAATGCTCCAGCCTTTCGGAGAAATGAGGAAAACAGAAAAAAAAATCACCCTAGTTTTGAACACCTCGTCACAGATACCCAATCAACCCTCACCGCCGTACTCTCAAGCTTCCTTACTCCTCTGGGTGTGGTGATAGCCGAGAAATTTGCGCGAGTCCCCCCGTTGTTTGTCACGCAACTAACTTCTTTGCCGCATCCTGATCACTTCGGCGAACACAAAAAGTGGCCGCATAAATCAATTAGCCGGCGATGCAGGCTTATGCAAGGAGTACTACCTGCTTAAAGGCTTCCTAATCCAATTTCTACGGAAAGAAAGCACATCACCACAGGGAGTTCGCGCAACTGTGCGAACAGCCACCACCAGAATGCGGTGCAAAGCATTGTGGGACAGAGGTCGTGCCTTAGGGTCACGTGATTTTACCACGTGAGTTTTCATGTGTGTTCGTCGGCTGGCCGAAAAAATGAGTAATCCATTTAAATAGTGCGAAACCCCTGTTTTCCTTTTCCGCGATTCTGGGCTCAGAACTATCCTGTTATCGTTGCGAGAGCGTAGCAGCTTCTCTGCATAGTCTGAGAGATCGTGTGTTCCCACAATAACAACTTCAAACCGACTTTTGTTCATCTCTTGGCGCGAACTTCGAATGAGTACGGTCACTATCTTGCACGGAATAGGCACGCACAGACGGATGTTTTGTAGACGTAATGTGTGTTATATCTACGCGCGTACGATTTCCTAAGTATTATGTTAGTATGGGCATGCTTCGCTAGCGCATTTTCTAGTTAGTGTGTGTGTCATTAAGAAAAATGCGAGCCCTTCGGTTCCCCTTCTTATTGTTCATTGATATAATCGTAGTTACCCAAGTGTACTTATGCGTTGAACGCAAATAGTTGCCATGTGTAAGTGGGATTGTGATTGACATACGTATTTCCTACTGCCTACAATTTTCCTAATGCATGACTGGTTTACCTACAATTGGGGTATAAGCGACTGCATTGAAATCTTGTTCGTGCACCAGAAAATGATAAACTCTCGTGTACGCACTCCAGCTAGACGGCCAATCTTGTAATCCACCTTTCATTATTTCTCTGCCCTTTGCTAAAAAAAAAATGTTATATATATATATATATATATATATATATATATATATATATATATATATGAATAAAAAGAAGACACACGTCGAAAAACGAAAAGGTTTCTTTACGTTTCGGCCGTGGGACCGGCCTTCGTCAGAATTATTCGTCAGGTTATTCTGACGAAGGCCGGTCCCACGGCCGAAACGTAAAGAAACCTTTTCGTTTTTCGACGTGTGTCTTCTTTTTATTCATACTATTTACCGGCGTCCAAGAATTTATTCCCTGCAATTATATATATATATATATATATATATATATATATATATATATATATATATATATATATATATATATATATATATATATATATATATATATATATATATATATATATATATGAGAGAGAGAGAGAGAGAGAGAAACCAGGTGTGGCGAGTCTTTACGACAATGAATATCTCCAGTAAATAAGCCCATCAATTCCATGTCATTTTTAACATGCCGAGTTTAATTTTAATGACGAATAATGTTGGCTTATGTGGGATAGATTTAACATAATGTGCGTAGTAACATATGTCTTTGTTGACTTCAACAACATGCCCCGCCGTAGTGGTCTAGTGGATAATGTACTCGGCGGCTGACTTGCTGGTCGCGGGATCGAATCCCGGCTGCGGCGACCCAGGTGGCCGAAATTCCTGGAGCCCTCCACTATGGCGTCTCTCATAATCATATGGTGGTTTTGGGATGTACAACCTCACATATCATCAATCATCTTAAACAACATAACTTCGTTAGTTCATTACTATGTTATGAAGAGCTTACTTAATTGCTTGCATTTAGCTTACCACGCCAGCCAGAGGACATTTATATCCCTAAAACTAATTATATGAAACACTCTTGCTATCAAGATAGCATGCTTAAAATATTAGTAATGTTCAAGTAATTAGGACATGATGCAGTGGTGTTTTTAGGCAAATAAGTGCAAATAACATTATTAAGAGGACAGTGCAGTAATGTTTTTACCTTGAAGTTTCTTGTAGGCCTGCTTTAGATGTTATCAAAGGGTTCACTGCCACTTTGTAGAGTGAAACTGTTCAAAACTCGGGCATTCCATTAGTTAGCCAGTATGTGCTACATGAATTGGGCACAGCCCACTACTCACCACTGCCCTACTAGAAAAATGAGAAAGGAAACACGCATATTCTGGCACACTATAGCACAAAACACACACAACATATGGAACGAGCACAAACAATGATGACAAGTGATGCATTTTCAAGCAACCTTTATTGGAAATAATTATTGGAAAATAAAGAATTATGCCCCAACCAGCCCTACTCGCCACTTATGGAACACACACAACTTATGTTCCACACAAAATACAAGAACATGCATTTCCTAGCAAAAATACGCCTGCTGATCAAATGGAAACCTTCAAGGAAGCTAATGGTAAATTCAAAAGCGACTTCGTACACAGAAATTTGAGATTTATTAGCATGGTGTGGTTGGCCTATGATTCGAAATTCTGTGTCACTTATATAGGTCTTGTGTCAAGCAGCTTCACTTGTCATCGACTCACACAGAGTGGAATGGCTCCACTATTTCTTTTTGCCTAGGTAAAACTGCACAACCATTTCATCATTTCATGCAGCATGAAGGCCGACATAGCAGACAAGTTATGAAAGTGTTATCTACTTGACTTTCAGATTGCTTTGGCCCTATGTACTGAGTGCTCAGCCATGCTTCCCACAATAAAATTCCAAAAAGACCCCTAAGCACCACTTAGGTTACTGGGTGTGATGTGGTGAAGAGAAAGTAGTTACTTCATGTACAATAGTGCTTACAGATCTTGAGTATTTTGTACTTGCAGTTCAATTACACTCTGTGTGACAAACAGGCTAATGAGTGTTTTTTTTCTCTGCACCAAATCATGCATTGGTAACTGTGAGAATACTGATGAACCTATTGGCTGCTGGAAGCGTCCAAGAACACTTTCCTGTGCTCACTGATGTAGGTGAGTTACCACCTTTGGAAGTGCTTTGATGATTCTGTAAAGTTAGAAGCTCGCGCATGACTGCACTTGTCTTGAGAGAACACGTAAATGATACAATACTTTCATGTGCACAAATGTGCATAAAGCTTTATAAGGAAAAAGGCAACTTGATTACTACGAGTCAATCTTTGAACTCCGACACTTTTCTTTAAAGGGGCCCCGCAACACTTTCTGAGCATGGTCAGAAAAGGCTGCCGATCAGTAGTCGCGGCTCCCGAGAACACGCGAGTCAAATATTATTTCGAAAAACGCGGCTTGGAATTCACAATAATTTCTCTAAGCTAGAAATTTTTCTCTTCTCTCGACAAATGATGCTACAAGCTAAGATATCACTCGTCACCGCCGTTGTATCAGCCATTGGCTGATTTGAGCATTGCGCGCTGTCATTACTATGGCCGCCTGCGACTTGCACACGTTTGTGCACAATCGCAAATGAAGAAGCCATGCATTCAAAGAAAGAAAAAAGAAAGTACTCAAGGCCACGAGGCATGCGTCACTTATTTTCTTCTCCCGTGCCATCCTTCGCTGCTTAGCTTTCAGCGTTTTCGTCGGGACGAGAGAAGAATGCAATTGCAGCATGCAACAAATCTTCAACACTTCCGCTCGTACTGAACGGATTCTGCAAGTTCTTGCAGTGGGGAACTCGTGAGGCAATAAGCTCCTTTAGTGAATTCATTTCCTGGCTACTTATAATATTAGTGAAAAAGCTTGCCCATACTAATGAAATTATATCCCAGTTTACTTGCAAATCTATATTTTGCTAGAAAAACTTTTTGGTGACTCTGGAAACATCCTAATATTCACAGGTTGAGTTAATTATTGAATGATACTACAATCCACGACGACTTTTTTTTTTTTACAGCGCTGTGAAAGTTACAGAACCAAGTCGCATGACTGCTGCCACGCCAGAATAATAGTACTTAGGTTAACTTATAACTTTCTAATTTGCCTTGTTGAAATAATCACAGCTTTATTTATTGTGAGGCTGACACAGTTGTGGGAACTTGTAAGTAAAATACAGTTATTGTTCACTTTGTAGGGAAGCTTTTCTTTATTTCCGACTTCTCATGCAGCACCACCTTTCCAGCCCACTTGTTTTCCAAGGAATCATGGCGTCCGTGACGTCAGTGTGGCACCACAAACGCAAACGCCCTGCTTAGTAGTCCAAGAAAAATATATTTACTAGGGGTTGTTAGCTAGCAAGTATACTTCTTTACTTAGCGTCTTACAGAATACAATCTGTGCATGCGTGGGTCTTTGCAGAACGTAAACTTTTACCTAACTAAACTGCCCGCCGGATAGGCTTTACGTAAGCGACCCTATCTCGTAAATCCACCTTTGTTCGTAGGAACTGGCGATATACACATTGCAAAGACTCCAGCCATTGCGTCAAATTAAGCCAAAGTGCGGATGCCAATAGTAATTACATCGTTTCAACCGGATCACCAAAGCTAGAATGGCCTAGAACATTGAAGCCGTAAACGTGCGAGACCCCCCCCTCCCCGGCAGGCTGGATACATGGTGCCATCTAGCGGGGCCAATATGAACCAGGCAATTACAAAATTGTTATTGCAGAAACATCGTTCATTGTGCCTCTGGTGTAAAAACCTCGCAGCAACGCATCACAAACGAGTTACCTTTTTCATCGTTTTCACATCAAAAACATTCAGCGTAAGCCAACGTGTTCATGATTGTGGTTGAACGAAGTGTCACAAGACGACGACACCATCATGTCGGTAACTTTGTATATATACATGCGAGAACACTGCACATGATAAAAATGTCTTGCTATTTTGTCACAGTGGTGATTCAATCGTAAGTTAATTATGATTTAAATGCAGTTAGCATCACCAGTTATGGTTTGCAAAAACGCACAAGTATACGTTTATGTACATACATAACCGTTTACATACGAGAT